AAACATGAATTGGTGAGTCGAGTGGGTTTTGTTGAGTTGTAAGTTGAAGGGCAGTCGAGTGGGATAATTGTTGTTAGTCAGACTATTAATAATGGACCATCAGTTTATATTCTTTCTATTGCTTATTTTATAGCACTGAACCACAAACCAATGTACATTCTGTGAATTGGTATAACCCCCTCTAGGTTTAGAATTACATCATTTCTCTGGAACAGTATGAAACATAACTCCCAAATGTAAATTCAATTGATTCTAGATAAGATATATATATATATATGTTAAAGTAAATACTGTCTTGGTTTCTTTGTTAATTAACATGGTTTACATTTTAGTAAACCAAGAGCAGGTAAGTTATTATTTTGAAAGCATTCTGACTTTGAATAAACTTGTGTGTACTTTGTTTGTTAAACACAGTGTAGTATATATATTAAAAAGATTTGTACTTACAGCCAGTAAATGTTAGCTAAATTCACTCACTCTACTACCTATAATAATTACCTAATACTTATTATCTATAACTCCTTATTTTTAATTACTAAAACATACATACATACATCTACTGCACCTAAAAGTATAACACCACATCTGTAGATCTAATGTCTGCGTTGTATTTCAACTTACTTTTTCACACTGACAAATCAAACACCTTATTTCATGGTGTTACTCTGCAATGTACCACTTAATATTCATAAATCAAAGATTTATATTTGGCAACTATTAGGTATTACTTAGCTATTTTATATAGGATATATTTGCCTATAACTAGAAGATAAACTTAGCTGCAACTATTAGATATAATTTAGCTACTTGCTATTGAATCTATTTGGTTATAATTGTAACCATTTTACCTATTTACTTACTAACGAATCTATCTGGCTACCGCTACGGTACTTAGTTAGGTACTGGCATTAATTTTTATTTTGTAATAAGAAAGATGTGTTACTAAAAAGGGGGGTAAAAATTCTTACATTTCCTTTTATGAAATACAAGGTACTCTACCTTTGCAAGATGAAACAACATGGATGCATTTTCAGGAGAACTTAGATCAACTTGAAAAAATTTTGGAAGCAGCTGTTGAAAGATGACTGTGTAAAAACACAAATTTTCTGAGATGAACTTTTTCCTAAGGAACAGAATAATTCCTCATCTAGTCACATATATATTAAAAAAAAGAAGACCGAAGACATACGACTGAACTTCTCAAAGTCTACAACAGCACCGAAGAAGAAGAGGGATTTAACGATGAAGATACTTTTTTTTTTTGTGAGCATTAAATTTTTTATACCACAAGTTCAGAGATGGAGAATAGTACAAAATGGAAAAAAATTAATGGCTTATTTGATTATATAGAAATTAATTATAATGTCAATGCAAATGGAAAATCACATTTAGTATGACAAAATTCCCAAAATCCATTTCACTATAAACAAACTGAGATACTCGAAAAATACTGTGTAAGAAAAATGACGTTGCATAATATAACATACAAACTTCTGTTTAAAATGATACTTACAGAATTGTTGTTTAACTCTTGGAAACTACCAGAATAATTTTATTTTGGCAATATTTAACTTTATTTATTTCTTTTCTTTACCAATACATTAATTGCAGTGAAGAACAAATGATGTATTGTACGATATTCTATTCTTTGATTTGCTACTCTCACTGAAACAGACTAGCTTTGCTAAATTCATGGCTCATCGGTGCTGCCTGGAAAGACTGAAGCAAGTAAATAAAGTAGGCCTCATACAGTGGTAGAATGTTTGTTTGGTTTAGATGTATGATTCTTCACTCACCACTAATAACCTAAAATATTTTAAATGTTTGAATAACATTCGACACACTATTACAATTAGCTATTTTATATAGGATCAACTATTAAGTATTACTTCAGCAAATGGAAACTCATTTGTGCTCCAAATTGTCAAGGTAAAAAATCATTGCACAATTATTGTCACCATCCTACTGAAAATGTAAGGGAGGAATTATTGCACATGGAGATGTGTCACCATCATACTGTAAATGTAATGGGGAATTATTGCACATGGATGTGTGTGTCACCATCCTACTGTAAATGTAATAGGGAATTATTGCACATGGAGGTGTGTCACCATCCTACTGTAAATGTAAAGGGGAATTATTGCACATGGAGGTGTGTCACCATCCTAATGGTGGATGGCTTTTGTTGCATGGTGACATCTTCACGCAGTGGTGCAATTCATGTAAAATCATGTGAAATTAGGTGGGTGTTGCCTCAAGGCTAATGACATGGAAATCTCTATGACAGACGCATGATGAAGATAAAACCATATAACTCTAGAGCTTTGGAAAGGTTGATCTTTTTTCTTCTTCTGAAGAAGAAGAAAGGTCCAACTTTCAAAAGCTCTAGGGTTATATGGTTTTATCTTCATCTTGTATCAAGACTTCTTGAACCTACGTGGTTTTCTGACATCATGAAGACACATGAGGAAGATAGCTAAATTGTGTGGAGAAGTGATTTATCATCTTGGAAATCATGACACATGGCTCTGTTATAATGTGAATGGTAAATACCAAGATCTATAACATTTTAATTAACTGGTTTATATTACTGGATATATTTGATTACAAATACAAGAGTTTACTTGGCCACAACTGAAAGATTTAGTTGGCTGCAGGAAACAATATCTATTCTATATAGGATATATTTGGCTCTAATTAAAAGATAAACTTAGCTGCAACTATTAGACATTACTTAGCTATCTTACATAGGACATATTTGGAGATTTGCATTCTTAATGAAACTTTTGTTTCATTGTATTTAATTTATTTTGAACTCTCAACTTAATGTGGTTTCATATAGTTCTTCTGTGAGTGAAAAATTTCCTCTCACAGGAAATACTTTACTTGTGGTGTCTAATTTTGTTAACTGGAAGACGTGACAACCATTGTTCAATGAGTTATGAGACTCATCATACATCCTGGGTCTTCAGCTCCTGTCCCTTCACCTGGTGTGTTTTCCCTTCAATTTGAAACTGAGATCGAAGAGGATGAATATGATTGCCATTTTCCTTATCCAGGTTTTTCATTAGGAACCACTTTGTCTGTTGAAGTCTTCTAGAAATCACTTTGTCTGTTGAAGACAGTCTTCTAGGAACCACTTTGTCTGTTGAAGACAGTCTTCTAGGAACCACTTTGTCTGTTGAAGACAGTCTTCTAGGAACCACTTTGTCCATTGAAGACAGTCTTCTAGGAACCACTTTGTCCATTGAAGACAGTCTTCTAGGAACCACTTTTCTCTGTTGAAGTCTTCTAGGAACCGCTTTTCTCTGTTGAAGTCTTCTAGGAACCGCTTTTCTCTGTTGAAGTATTCTAGAAATCATTTTGTCTGTTGAAGACAGTCCTCTAGG